GAGTGTCTTGCTCACGGGTTTATGGGTTCAGGGAAGGTTTCCTGGAAGAGGTGATACCAGAGTTGAGGCAGGAGAGAAGGGAGAGGAGGGGCGTAAGAGGTCTTCCAGGCAGGGGTGTGTGGTGCGCAGTGGTCTGGGGGACTGTGAGCAGCTGATGCTGCTGGAGTGTAACACGTAGTGGAGAGGAGTTTTGAGAATTGAGGCTGGAGCCATAATCAGGTGCAGGTTAAAAAAAAAAAAGAATCTGTCATAAGAGCATAAGAGGGCATGCTTCAAATCTTAGAAAGTTTCCTACACTGAAGAGAAAATGGCATAGATCAGCTAAAATTTCCAGGATACAAAAATCTTCTTAGAAGGGAAATATCATTTTTAAATAACATTTTAAATAAATCTAATAATATTTTGTTTTTAATAATTTTATTAGAATATTCTTAGAAGTTCTTTTTTATTTAAGCAAATGCATAGAAATGACTTCTCAATAAAATTATATTCTACAAAAAAAAAGGCTTTCATTGCTTTCTCCGCTGGCACCGGTGCTGTTGCCTGCTCCTCCCTGGCCATGGCGTTCACGTTCGCGGCCTTTTGCTACATGCTGGCGCTGCTGCTCACTGCCGCGCTCATCTTCTTCGCCATCTGGCACATTATAGCTTTTGATGAGCTGAAGACTGATTACAAGAATCCCACAGACCAGTGTAATACCCTGAATCCTCTTGTACTTCCAGAGTACCTGATCCATGCTTTCTTCTGTGTCATGTTTCTTTGTGCAGCAGAGTGGCTTACACTGGGTCTCAATATGCCCCTCTTGGCATATCATATTTGGAGGTATATGAGTAGACCAGTGATGAGTGGACCAGGACTCTATGACGCTACAACCATCATGAATACAGATATTCTAGCATATTGTCAGAAAGAAGGATGGTGCAAATTAGCCTTTTATCTTCTAGCATTTTTTTACTACTTATACGGCATGATCTATGTTTTGGTGAGCTCTTAGAACAACACACAGAAGATTCGGTCCAGTTAAGTGCATGCAAAAAGCCACCAGATGAAGGGATTCTATCCAGCAAGATCCTGTTTCCAAAAGTAGCCTATGAAATCTGATCAGTCACTTTAAAAAAATGACTCCTTATTTTTTAAATGTTTCCACATTTTTGCTTGTGGACTTTTCATATGTTATACTCAGATAAAGAATTCAAATGGAATTACGTATAAATTAATATCAAATGATTACCTCTGGTATTGACAGGTTTGAACTTGCACTCCTTAAGGAATAGCCATAATCCTCTGAATGAATGCATTAATTACTTAGTCCATTGGAAGCTTTTGTTTATAGGAATTGGTAGGGCTCATTTTGGTTTTAATGAAAGGACATCTAATTATAAATGAGCTATAGATATCAGGTGCTTCTGATGAGCTGGACATGTATATCTGACTCATGGGAAACTTCATGGGTTTCCTCATCTATCATGTAGATGATTATATATGGGTACATTTACAAAAATAAGAGTGGGATTTTTTCCCTTCAACTTGAATATTATCCCTATATATTGCATGAATGAGAGATTTCCCATATTTCCACCAGAGTAACAAATATACTTGCTTTAATTCTTAAGCATAAGTGAACATGATCTAAAAAATATGCTGAATTACTTGTGAAGAATGCATTTAAAGCTATTTTAAATGTGTTTTTATTTGTAAGACGTTACTTATTAAGAAATTTGTTATTATGCTTACTGTTCAAATCTGGTGGTAAAGGTATTCTTAAGAATTTGCAAGTACTTTAGATTTTCAAAACTGAATAAGAGAGAAAATTGTATAACCATCCCTTTAGTGCAATACAATAAAACTCTGAAATTAAGCACTCATTTACAGTACGTTGTTTTAAAGATTACAAATAGCTATTTCCTAAACTTGCTTAATTCATAATAAAGACATATCACTGTCATTTAAAAAAAAAAAGGCTTTCATTGAACTGGGCGCAGTGGCTCATGCCTGTAATCCCAGCACTTTTGGGAAGCTGAGGCAGGAGGAAGCTGAAACCAGGAGTTCAAGGCTGCAGTGAGCTATGATCGTGCCATTGCACTGCAACCTGGAAGACCTTGTCTCAAAAAAAAAAAAAAAAGAGAGAGAGAGAGAAGGCTTTGTTGGGAAGAGGAACATGGGGAGCATCTAATTAGATTGGACTTCGTCCGTTAGGCAGTGGAGAGCCAAGTAAGAGTTTGGAGCTGTAGGTGGAAGTGGGTGCTGAGGGAGCCATTATCAGATTTGTATTTTGAATGGCTTCCTTTGGAGGCTGTGTAGAGAGGTTTGTATGTGAAAGTGGGGGATGCACAGCTGGAAGCAAGATCATAAAAAGGCAGGAGATGATGGGACCTGAACAGGGTCTACGGAGGAAGGGGAGAGAAAATGACAATTCACCAGGAGGAGGAAGATGAATGAGTCAAGGATGGCTTTCTTGTTTCTGGCTAGGGTATTATGTAGAACTAGAGAATACAGGAGGAAAAACAAGTTTTGGGGAAAATCTGATGAGCCTGTATTTGGATATATTGAGTTTGAGCCCACAGGATATTCAGGAGGAAGATTTCAGGAAATAAACAAGTTGACTCAGTAGGAGAGGATGCAGTCACTCTGGGGAGAACATGCAGAATGGGGAAACAGAGGCTAAGGAACCTATTCCAGGGAGCCCTAATGTTAAAGGGTGAGCCAGACAAGAGAAACCCAGGTAGGAGAGAATGAACACAGAAAGAAACAAGGAGGATAGAGTGAGCAGAGTACCATGAAAGCCAAAGGGATACAGCTGTGAGATGTGCATTAAGGATGAGGAGAAATGAGCAGAGTCATATGCCACAGAGAAGTCCAGTAAGACAAAGGCTGGAAAATGCTCTTTGGACTGGACATTGGGAAGCCACTGGTAGACTTGTGATTGGTAGGAGCAGGCCTTGGTGGGTATAGTAGCCCCAGTTTCTCTGTCCCCTTGTGTATGTGGAAGAAGCATGGGAGTAGAATTCATATGTGGGGATCAATCTTGTTCAATATAGAGGAGGCCTGATTTTAAAGCTAAGCAAAGTTGCATTTTAGAATACAACTGAAAAAAGAAAATAGTTGTTAAACATTCAAAAACCATTTAAACTTTTGGAGGCCCCACTCTGTAGGGAATAAATACAACACAGCTCAAGAAGGAATGAGTCCCTGAGCTGTAGTGATCCTGTACTATTCTGGCAGGTTTCTAATGTATGGTTTCAGGAATAAAAGCAACTCAAAAGCACATTTTGGACGTTTATAACTAGATCTATCCCAACCCATGCACTAAATAAAAGTCTAGCATTGCATTTGGAACTTGGTTTTTGAACAACAGTGCACCCTGGTGTAGATGTCAGGCATAAATACTTTTATTATCTCTGATACTCTAACTCAAAAAGCAGGTTCAAAACAGATGTTTTGAGATGGGGAAAGTGCTTGATTTAGGGAGCTTGTTTAGGTTTTATGTTTTACAACATCTGGGGGTATCATACTGGTATGGCTAGTTTAAGACGATAAAAATTCACTTGCCCTTGTGCACCGTATAACCATGCTTCTATTAAGTGGGTTATAAAATTATAAACATAGAAAATTGAACAGTGAAATCTTCAAATTGAACCACTTGTGTAACCAAGCACATAGGTCAATAAACAGAAAAATAATGACAGTCCAGATGCCCTCCATGTGCCCTCTTGGTCACTACCACTCCTGTCGAGGGTAATCACTATCATGTCTTCTCATATCATACATCAATTTCACTTTTTGAACTTTCTATAATTTCTGAGATTATTCTCACAAATAGTACACTCTTTTTTGTCTCATTCAATATATTAGCGAGATTCATGCATGTTGCTCCGTGTAGTTTATTCTCTTTACTGCATAAAAACAATTGTAAAGCTCCACCATAATCTTATCAGTTTTATAGTTGATGAACATTTGGGTTCTTTCCAATTTGGGGCTATTACAATCTGCCATGAACATTCTTGTACTTGCCTACTGGTGCACATCTGCATGCATTTGTACTGGGTCTATGCCTAGGAGAGGCATTACTAGGTTATAGGGTGGACTTAACTTTAGGAGATACTGTCAACTAGTTTTCTAAATTGGTTGTTCCAATTTCTATTTCCATCAGCAGTGAATGGGAATTCCAATTTGCTTCACATCCTCACCAACACATGGTATTGTTACTATTTGTAATTATAGATTATGGTGGGTAAATATGTCATTGTGTATTTTAAAATCAGCTTTATTAAGATGTTACTTGGGAGGCTGAGGTGGGAGGATAGCTTGGGACCAGGAGTTTGACACTGCAGTGAGCTATGATTGTGCTACTGCACTCCAGCCTGGGCAACAGAGTGAGACCCCTGTCTCTAAAAAAAGAAAAAATATATATAATTCATGTACCATACAATTCATCCACTTACACTATACAATTCAGTGCCTTTCAATATATTAAAAGTTGTCATCCATCCTTATAATCAATTTTATAATATTTTCATTACCCCAAAAGAAACCTCACACCTCTTAGCTATCATCCTCAATTCTAGTATCCCTTCAGCCCTAGTCAATCACCAATCTACTTTCTGTCTCTGTAGATTTGACAGTTCTCAACATTTCATATAAATGGAATCATACAGTATGTGGCCTTGTGTGTTTAGCTTCTTTCATTTAGCATAAATGTTTGCAAGGTTCATCAGATTTTGATTGAACAAAGGAACCATCCACCTATGGTTCAAACTGTACACTGGAGGGGGCAGAGAAGTAAAAAAAATTGTACACTTGAGGCAGAGGTTGCAGGCTTGTTCCTATTCATTCCTTTTTTAAAAAGTGCTATTTGCTCATTTCACTGATGACATATTTCATAGTTAACTTCATGGACATACTACGAAGTGGTACTATTCTAAACCAATCTGTGAGAGCATGGCTGTGGTTTATCTTTGGCTGCAGTAATGAGAGCGAGTTTTTTTTTTAACTTTTTCTAGGTCAAATTATTTTGGTCATGCTTTAAGAAATTCTGGAGTCTGGAGTTCATTTGTTGGAATAGACCCAAATGACTTCCTGAGTTGGAACAAATCTGGCTTTTCCTACAGGTACCCCTACCGCTGATCCTATTGCTGACATCTATGTAGAGGCATGGGGCTTTCCATTCAACTGAAGACAAAGACACATGGGAGATGGCCATGTGATGACAGAGGCAGAGACTGGAGTTATATGTCTACAAGCCAAGGAATTCCAAGGGTTGCCAGCAACCAAGAGAAGCTAGGAGAGATCCCAGGAACATATTCTCCTCAGAGCCTCCAAAGACCAACCCTGTCAACACCTTGATTTTGAACTTCTGTAATTTGTGCTAATTCATTACGACAGCCCTAGGAAACTAATGAACTTAATACCTGGACTCCTGATCCTGCAGCTGGCATAAGCCGGTGCTCAGCAGAAGCCGGTGGAGCAGTCTGAGGCTGTGGATGTTCCTTACAAGAATCTGATCTGGATCTTGGCCGAACGCGGTGGCTCACACCTGTAATCCTAGCACTCTGGGAGGCCGAGGCAGGCGGATTGTTTGAGCTCAGGAGTTCGAGACCAGCCTGAGCAAGAGCAAGACCCTGTCTCTACTAAAAATAGAAACAAATTAATTGGCCAACTAAAAATATATAGAAAATATTAGCTGGGCATGGTGGCCTGTAGTCTCAGCTACTCAGGAGGCTGAGGCAGGAGGATCGCTTGAGCCCAGGAGTTTGAGGTTGCTGTGAGCTAGGCTGACACCACGGCACTCTAGCCAGGGAAACAAGAGTGAGACTCTGTCTCCAAAAAAAATAAAATAAAAATAATCTGGATCTTTCTGTATATGTAGAACAGAAAAATAACTGATGAGCTCACTTTTTCCCTTTCTGATGTTTCCCCAACTAAAATTTAGGTAGCTTGGATTAGATTGATGGTCCCAGTTTTTTGTAGATATTAAATGAGATCTACTTTCCTGTTTAATGGTATCAGGACTGGGGTATTTTGAGTGTGAATCACCATGGATAGTAATACTTTTTTATTGGAAAGCTGACATTGTTTTGGTAGACAGTCAAGGTTATTTTCCTCTGATTTAGCTGAAATACAGTATTAATGTCCAAAAGCAGAAGAGAAAGAGAATCAAGAAGAATGTGTGGATACTATACTGCCTACACTGACTACAAAAATATTTATCGTAAGTTTGCACTGTCAGAAACCTATCTCAGCACACATTTGGAGAACTCTTATCAGGACACATACAATAACTACCAGGATGACTGGATAATATAAAAATGATTCTTATCCAGGCCTAAAAGGACCAGGACAATAGGAAGAGGGAGGCTACTACATTGCAAACCTACCAGTTTACTACTAAGGAGAAAGGCTGTGGGGAAGGGATTCTGACACTGGAAGGAAGACTAAGAAGGCAGCTTGTTAACATGTTTACTGTATACACTGCTGGGTCCTGGCAGACTGCTAGGCATGGGGCTATAGATTATTAAGCAGTCACCATGCCTTGTTTCCATATGAAAACCAAGAACCAGAGGTTTGAAGGGGATGTGGGTTCCTTTTTCATGAACAATTTACTTCCTTTCTATAATGGGAAAACATCCATACTGATTCTGCAGCATATTTTCAGATTGTAAGGTGACATTCAATATTCCTGGCTGTCACTATGTTGATGTTTTTTTCTTCTAGTCTTTTCCCTATATTTCCTGTCAGTGTGGAAGGCAGAGAGCCGCATGAAAAAGGTTACAGCAATCTCAAGAGGAAACCACTCCATCATCTCAACATGGGTTTCAAGATTTTTACCCTCAATTTTTCAGAATGCTAAATTTTATTATTGCCCAATTATTTTAAACAGTTGTGCATCCTGAAGATGCTAAGCAAATGTATGATTTGGAAAGTCACTGACAAGTGGGAGTTTGTTCTTGAATGTTATCTAGGGCAGCTACATGAAGTTCACAGAAATTAATAAGCCTTTTTAAAATGAGTTTTATGTATCACAGCAACAAAAATTACATTGAACTCTAGAGTAAAATGTTCTTTTAATCATACTGTAGTTAAGGCACACAATGGTAAAATTAAGAAGTTCTGGGGTATCATGAGTAATGGTCAATTCTTTAGAAATCAGATATCCTGGTATTGCTCTGGTTTAGACCTGTGACATCCAACATGTTGGCCACCACCCATATATGGCTAGTCCAAAGTGAGAGGTGCTATAAATGCAATATACACACTGGAGTTTGGAGACTTGGTATGAGAAAATACAAAGTATCTCAATAACTTATATTAAAAACATATTGAAATATTTTGTATACGTTGGATTGAATAAAATATATTATAATAACTTCAACTATTTTTTACTTTTTAATGTGGCTACTAAAAATTTTAAATTATTTATGTGGCTAATTGTACACTGGACAACATTGTCTAGCCAATTCATTAAAGTGCATAAGAGACCTGAAACACTTGGCTGTAAAATGATCACATTCATAAGAATGTTATCCTCTGTTGCAAACAGGGGCTTAAGAACTAACTGTACCCAGTGATGGTTATTACATTTGAAACACTTGTGGATTGCTATTATCAAAGCATACTATGTAAGAATAAGATTAAAAAGACTTTAAAGTGAAATAAAGTAGCCAGGCAGGATGAAGTCCTGACATGGTCCACATTTTATGACTTATTTAAGGACCTCTGTAGCTCTCAAAAATGTTCTGAGGATCCAGTGGCTTTTTAGGACAGCTGTCTTCCAGGCAGTGACTCAGGACTCGGCTGCCTCTACTCTGGCAGAGGAAAAGAAGCTGGCTTTTATATGTTCTCACATGGAAAGGCCACATAGCCTATACTTGCAGGCCTTGGCCAGAATCAGCCATGTGGCCCTCCCTGCCTTAGTTTAAGTAGGGTGACTTGGGAGAGTGCATGGGTATTCAGTAACAAAAAACCCCTAAATTCTGGGTTTCTTGTGACCCAAGTACTCTTCCAAGTATGTTGTAAAAAGGGTGGGGGGAAATCAGGATTTGGTCACTCTTCTGAATGCTTCTGTCAGTTAAGTACTGGAGCCGGTCAGAAGGTATCAACTTATTTTATTTTTTAATTTTAAAATTTACAATCTTTTATATTTAATTTTATCTTTTCTTATATTATCAGAAACATCATGGAAGAGGTTATCAATTTCTTAAGTATCAGTTACCATATGCATAAGCAGATTGTTTTTATTTTCTTCTTTTTAGTCAAAGGAAAGCTATTATACAAACAGAGGCTCCTCTTTCCATATGTTGACAAACTACGGCTAACATGGACAAATTTGACCTATTGTAATCTTATTTCTTTCATCTTATAGTTAACATATACAGGAAGAAATCTAGTTACCTACTTATGTATCCCTACTGTTCACTATGCATATGCCATGTGCTGCTTTTTTAGGGAAATAGGTACCATATGTTATGCTAGTTACTTTTGTGTTTCTAAGTTGTTTATACAAATGCAGAAACATAAAATCTGAAATACAGTCTAAAAACTAAACCTGGCAGCTAATAGCTCAACCCAGCTGTATCTTCCTGCTGGAATCCCCACCTTACCCCAACCCACCATGCACACATAACCCCTCCCCCTCCTTGACCCAGTGACATGAAATGCAACAATTTTTTTTTTTAAGTGTACATCATACATTTATTACCAACAACCCTCTCAACTCCAAAATTGGGCACAGGGATTAAAAATAAAAATTCATTGCACTACTTAGTAAAGCATTACTAGTAACTTTCATAAAAAATGTACAAACTTTGTTAAAAATTTATCAAGCCTTCAAATGATTTGGTTACAGATATTTATAATACGTACATTTAAAACTATATGTTAACTGATACAATGGAATATGATTTGAGGAAATGACTCAGCAAATGATTCCAAAAAACACCCCTGTGAGCTTTCATAATCTGAAACAAACAGCAAAATGAGGTAACCAAATGTACCAACAGGGGGAAAACAGCTTTCTAATGAAGGCCTAAAGATATCTGTGAAAAATATTCTCTTGAGTTGGTAGATCTCATTTAAAATTATTACAAGAGGTCCAAATTTAAGAATCTTAACAAATCACATTTCACAGAGTATATAAAATCTAAATATGCTTTCACATTTTCCATATTTTTCTCAAAAAAAGAAAAAAATTTCAGGACAAAAAATCCTAATGAGATCTTGATACCTGGAGGCCTTGTAGGGAATGGGGGTTAAAAAAACATCAAAGATGACAATTCATGTCAAAAAACAAACAAGAACCCACAAAAAACCCACAGCTGAGTTAAGATGGTAAAGCCAATATTGTTTTAGGAGGAAAGAGAACGAAGGCAACAAACCAACATCTGCTTGCTATCTGGTGCTTCACCCAAGGTGACAACGGTTGGGCATGAATCAACTGTTCTTTGTCCTCACTGTGGCTAGTCTGAGCTGGTCAGAACACATGCACATGTGCTCCTAATACACACTAACCACTTAATAAGCAAGTCTGCACACATCTCTAAGAGCCCATGCAAAGAAAAGACATTCCTGAAGAGAGATCAGTCATAAGAGTGCAACAATTAAATTCAGGATTTTACCGAAACAGACCCTGCTGCCTCCTAAATTGCCAACTGCCTCTCTAAAATTTACCAAAAAAGGGACATTATGATAAGAATTCACAGAGGGAGGGAAGAAAAGCTACTTTTCCTAGTCATTAGTACAATGTGCCTTGTTAATTAGGTATCTCTATATAAATTAGAAAAAGTGCTTCACTTGCATGCTTCAATAAAATGAATACTGAGTGTAGTAGTGTTATGTTAGATCTGTACAGATATAAATTTTTTGCAGCTATATAAAAGAGTCTATGTATAAGATGGGCTTTTGCCATTTTAAACATGATTTTTTCATTAAAAAAAATAAAGATTAAACTATACGTGATTTGTATGTAGCTGATTATTATGCCAATAATTTTGGTTTTTAACATACTTTATTCATCAGGAACAGGTGGGGTATGTCCTAATGATTTAAAAGTAACATGTGCATTTTACCACTGTTTAGATGTATTTCTGATGCACTAACAAACATAGGGGCAAACAGAAAGTATGCAAAATCCTACCTGTATGACTAGTTAGAGGCAACAGTGTCTGGAAAAGGGCAATATTGTGCTTCTGTGTGAATTGACTTTACTGAACTCTAAGCTGTGATGAGCTTATAGAGACTTTAAGGGAGGGCAAGCAGCATGGCAGTAATAAGTAGTTAACACTGTCTGAGTAGAAAACTGACACAGAGCCAACTGCAAGTTGAGTGAGGCTGGCAGCAAGTTATCACAGTCCTGACTGGAACAATGCAGCTTGTGCTACTGCAAACAAAGCAATGACATCAACTGCAGGAATAGGCAGACAATGTTCAGTACACTAAAAGAATGAGAAAGTAATCTAAACATTGCTGGAAAAATGACGCAACAATCTGAATTATGCTCAATGAACCTATTTTTAAAAAACCCACACGGCTATGTATTATTTCAGATTAACTAAATGAAGGTCAATTCCTGTTTAACAGCATTATTTTCTTATACA